TATAGACTAGACTATAGACTAGACTATAGACTAGACTATAGACCAGACTATAGACTAGACTATAGACTAGACTATAGACTAGACTATAGACTAGGCTATAGACTAGACTATAGACTAGACTATAGACTAGACTATAGACTAGACTATAGACTAGACTATAGACTAGACTATAGACTAGACTATAGACTAGACTATAGACTAGACTATAGACTAGACTATAGACTAGACTATAGACTAGACTATAGGCAAGACTATGGACTATTCTATAATCAGAACTATATACTGTTATATAGTCAGGAGTCAGTCAATAGCCTAGACTGTTCTATAGACAAGACTATAGACTGCTCTGTAGTCAAGATTATAGACTATTCTATAGGCAAGACTATAGATTTTTCTATAGCCAAGGCTATAGACTGTTCTATAATCTAGACTATAGACTGTTCTATGGTCAAGTCTATAGACTTTTCTATAGTCAGGACTATAGACTATCCTATACGCAAGGCTATAAACTAGTCAAGATTATTGACTGTTCGCTAGTCAAGACATAACACTGCTCTATAGTCATACCATTGGCTATATAGTGAAGACCCTCGAATTTTTATAGTCAATTTAATATAAGAAACAAAAAATAAATTGAATAAAGAAACAAAAACAATTGTACTAGTTTGTCAAATCACTTACCTTTTTAATTTGTTGTTCTAATAATGATATTCTCCGGTTTGTATTTCCTTGCATACAAGAACAATAATTCCATTTTGCAACACATGCATATTTACATACATACGCACCAACTCTTTTTCTTTAAGTTTTTTTCTTTTCATTATTTCTCACACCTTTTCCCTTTGACATTTTTTCAACAATTTTGTTTTCCAACTCTCTCACTATACCCTTTGATTGATGCTTTCTCATCACTTCAACGAAAGGGCACGACAAAAGAAAACCACCGAAGCGTAGCGATGCTCGGCCTAACGAAATGCATTGAATTTTTTGCAAACTAAAAAAAAAACACTTTTTTAAATGAATAATTTAACACTTTTTTGACAAATAATATACAGTTTTTTTTATAAGCAATTTTCCATAATGGTATTTATAAACAATTCTCCACAAAATATTTAAATATTACCAATTTATTAACTCTTTAGATTAATTTAAACAGGACTATTAACATTAAACAACCGAACACTTTAGAAATTTTTAGCAACTAAAGAAGAAGAAAAATAACTAAAGCAACAAATGGTAAAAGAACTTGTCATTGTTGTTGTTATTACTCTATTTAAAGAGCAAATATCCAATAACAATAACAACAACTGCACTATGTGATGAATGCTTTTTGTTATTGTTCCATTTCATTAGGTTTCTTAATATTTCTAAATGTTCGATTGTTTAGGGTTAATGATACTGTTTAAATTAAGCTCAAACATTAATTAATTGTTAAAAATATTTTTGTTGTATAATATTAAACAAATGTTAATTTATATTGGTATAAAGAAACATTTATGAAAAAAGTTTTTAAATTAGTAAAAAGTGTTTAATAAAAATGTACAAATTTGGCAAATTCCTTTAGAATATGTTGTTGTCGTTGTTTCTTGGTTTCCAGGGCCATTCGTACATAAGTCGCCAAACATGAAAGAGTGAATTGTTGAATGGGAGTGTAAGTAAGATGGGATACTATATGTTAGCAAATCATTAAAAAGTTGTTGCTATTACATTATCACAATTATCAAAGAAGAAATTGTATGTAAGCAAAAATGTGAGAAAAATGTAATTATTGTGTTTCAGCTGTAAAATAAGGACAACAACAACCATAAGTTATGCAATCTAAGTATATACCAGGCATGGAAAATTTAAAACTAGACCATAGACTAGACTATACTAGACTAGACTGGAGACTAGACTAGAGACTAGACTATAGACTAGACTACTGACTAGACTATAGACTAGACTATAGACTAGACTATAGACTAGACTATAGACTAGACTATAGACTAGACTATAGACTAGACTATAGACTAGACTATAGACTAGACTATAGACTAGACTAGAGACTAGACTAGAGACTAGACTATAGACTAGACCAGAGACTAGACTATAGACTAGACTATAGACTAGACTATAACTAGCTATAGACTAGACTATAGACTAGACTATAGAGTAGACTATAGACTAGACTATAGACTAGACTATAGACTAGACTATAGACTAGACTATAGACTAGACTATAGACTAGACTATAGACTAGACTATAGACTAGACTATAGACTAGACTATAGTCTAGTCTATAGACTATAGACTAGACTAGACTATAGACTAGACTATAGACTAGACTATAGACTAGACTATAGACTAGACTATAGACTAGACTATAGACTAGACTATAGACTAGATATAGACTAGATATAGACTAGATAGACTACGAATAGACTAGACTATAGACTAGAGACTAGACTAGACTAGAGAGACTAGACTATATACTAGACTAGACTAGACTATAGACTAGACTAGACTAGACTAGACTAGACTAGACTATAGACTAGACTAGACTAGACTATAGACTAGACTATAGACTAACTAGACTAGACTAGACTAGACTAGACTAGACTATAGACTAGACTATACTAGACTACTAGACTAGACTATAGACTAGACTATAGACTAGACTATAGACTAGACTATAGACTAGACTATAGACTAGACTATAGACTAGACTATAGACTAGACTATAGACTATATAGACTAGACTATAGACTAGACTATAGACTAGACTATAGACTAGACTATAGACTAGACTATAGACTAGACTATAGACTAGACTATAGACTAGAACTATAGACTAGACTATAGACTAGACTATAGACTAGACGATAGACTAGACTATAGACTAGACATAGACTACCTATAGACTAGACTATAGACTAGACTATAGACTAGACTATAGACTAACTATAGACTAGACTATAGACTAGACTATGACTAGACTATAGACTAAGACTATATAGACTAGACTATAGACTAGACTATAGACTAGATTAACTAACTAGGACTAGACTATAGACTAGACTATAGACTAGACTATAGACTAGACTATAGACTAGACTATAGACTAGACTATAGACTAGACATAGAACTAGACTATAGACTAGACTATAGACTAGACTATAGACTAGACTATAGACTAGACTATAGACTAGACTATAGACTAGACTATAGACTGACTATAGACTAGACTATAGACTAGACTATAACTAGACTATAGACTAGACTATAGACTAGACTATAGACTAGACTATAGACTAGACTATAGACTAGACTATAGACTAGACTATAGACCTAGACTATAGACTAACATAGACTAGACTATAGACTAGACTATAGACTAGACTATAGACTATACTATAGACTAGACTTAGACTAGACTATAGACTAGACTATAGACTAGACTATAGACTAGACTATAGACTAGACTATAGACTAGACTATAGACTAGACTATAGACTAGACTATAGACTAGACTATAGACTAGACTATAGACTAGACTATAGACTAGACTATAGACTAGACTATAGACTAGACTATAGACTAGACTATAGACTAGACTATAGACTAGACTATAGACTAGACTATAGACTAGACTATAGACTAGACTATAGACTAGACTATAGACTATACTAGACTATAGACTAGACTATAGACTAGACTATAGACTAGACTATAGACTAGACTATAGACTAGACTATAGACTAGACTATAGACTAGACTATAGACTAGACTATAGACTAGACTATAGACTAGACTATAGACTAGACTATAGACTAGACTATAGACTAGACTATACTAGACTATAGACTAGACTATAGACTAGACTATAGACTAGACTATAGACTAGACTATAGACTAGACTATAGACTAGACTATAGACTAGACTATAGACTAGACTATAGACTAGACTATAGACTAGACTATAGACTACTATAGACTAGACTATAGACTAGACTATAGACTAGACTATAGACTAGACTATAGACTAGACTATAGACTAGACTATAGACTAGACTATAGACTAGACTATAGACTAGACTATAGACTAGACTATAGACTAGACTATAGACTAGACTATAGACTAGACTATAGACTAGACTATAGACTAGACTATAGACTAGACTATAGACTAGACAATTTGCTATAGAAAACATTTATTCTGAAACATTTTGCTATAGAAAACTGTTATAATTTTCTAGAGAAACTGTTATACGATTATAATTTTCTTAAGAAAAGCTCTATACTTTAACAATTGTCCATATTGAACTGTTATACTTTAAATTTTTTTAATAAAAAACCGTTATATTTTGACAAAATTTGATGGAAAATTGTTATACTATAACAATTTACTATGTAAACAGTTGGACATTAAAAATTTTATATAAAAACTGTTATACTGTAACACTTTCAATAGAAAACTGTTATACTATAACAATTTTAATAAAGAACTGTTACACTTTAACAATTTCCAATGAAAAACTGTTATACTTTAATAAATATTCTTTACAAAACTGTTATACTGAAAAAAAAAAAAATTTTACATAAACAGTTTTACTTTTCACTGCTTTTTGAAATTATACTTCATATCTACATACATATGAATCTATTCTATATGTGTATTTTAGTCCTATTTGTGCTATAAATGTGTAAAAACTATACATATTTGCATTTAGACTAAATTACGTTATATATTCTATTCTTGCAATATGTAGTAGAGTATGGTCACAGAAATTTGCATAGGAAAATTATAGAATGATTACAACCTTATGTTAAGGCACTGAACTTTAAAGGAGACAAACTGGAATGGCAGGTTTGAGTAAAATAAACTATTTAGTATTTATTTAGTAATAATGGAGGCAAGACTTCACATGTCAGAATTTAAAATGTTTATAACTGTCAAGACTTTTCGCTATTAATTATCATAAAATTTTAAAATTTTTTATCACTTATTTCTTTATAGAAAAAATCAATTTTATTGCTATATAACTTTCACCATGCACAAGAAGACATCTTTGGAATTGCGCAAAGAAAATCGAGAGTTTTTCAGAATTATCAAAATGAGATCAATGATCGTTTAGGTATTGATAGTTTTTCTAGTACAACCCATACAAAGACTGACCCGATATCCCCTACTATTACAGCAGTTAATAAATGTGAGTAATTGCGATATAAAATATTTGAAAAATATCGAGAAATACCATTTTTTAACTTTCTCCAGGAATTCTATAAAGTGGTATTAATTGTAAGCCCGTCTTGTCTTCATTGTGTAAATTAGAGACACGCATGCGCCGTCTGTTTGGAGGTGGTCAATCAATCGGAAGAGATACACTGTATAGAGGAAATACCTCCTGAGGTAAGTTCTTAAGCCAACCAATATAAACTTCATTTTATTCTTCCCTTATTCTTATATTTCCAGCCTCCATCTCGAACACTGGGTTCCTTTAGACGTTCACCGAATTCGATGCCTATAACCATAGATCACGTAAAAAATTCCACTCCAAAGTTTTCCTCTTCGATCAGTGCCTTCTATGCACCGAAGTGCGTAAACGTCGTTTAGCCTTTAAGCATTCGTATACTTGGGATACAATAGAATTAAAGCTTAATACCTCTAAGAATATAACTCTATTAACGAAAGCTGCCTCTTCGTCGGGCAGTTCGAATACACATAGTTCCGTTAAGGAGGAATATGAATTCTCCTCACCCGAAGCCATTTCAATAAATCAATGGCTGCGTTGCGCTCGCCGCATTATTGAGCATTCTCGCATCGAAGAGTCTCAGAAGGGTAAACTGGTATTGCCCATGGATTTGGTTTTGGGTGTGATATTTGCCATTTGGTTTATTTGGCACTATTTGTGAGAGTGTCGTCGTCGTGTGTTTATTTAATGTGTAATTATATTTATTTATTTTTTTATTTATCATTTGAGTTTTATTTTATTTTATTGCAATAAAGTGGATCTTAAATTATTACTTTTTTAAATATCCTTAATCTTGTTGTCTTAATTTTTCAATTTTTTTTGGTTTATTTTATGGGTTGTTAAACCAACTCGTCAGTATGTGGATATAATAAATATTTACGAAAGGAAGGATTTAGTTATTTAAGGTATTCATTTTTTAAAGGGGCCTTTTATACCTTTAAGTTTTCTATTTTTAATTTATAATATATGTATATATTCCGTTCGATTTAGCCATGTCCGTCTGTCTCTTCGTATCTATGTTTGAAATCAATTTTCAGAAGACCCCAGATATCTCCAATAAGGCTATCAGAAGCTCGATATTTAAAATCACAAAACTTTGTCACTAGTCTTTACTCACAGTCAGAGTTAGTTAGTTTAATTAGTTAGTTAGTTATTAGTTAGTTTGTTAGTTAGTTAGTTAGTTAGTTAGTTAGTTAGTTAGTTAGTTAGTTAGTTAGTTAGTTAGTTAGTTAGTTAGTTAGTTCGTTTTAGTTAGTTAGTTAGTTAGTTCGTTTTTAGCGTTCGTTCTTAGCGTTCGTTAGTTCGTTCGTTCGTTAGTTGTTAGTTCGTTCGTTTCGTTCGTTCGTTCGTTCGTTCGTTCGTTCGTTCGTTAGTTCGTTCGTTCGTTTTCGTTCGTTCGTTCGTTTCGTTAGTTTTTCGTTCGTTCTTCGTTCGTTCGTCGTTCGTTCGTTCGTTCGTTCGTTCGTTCGTTCGTTGTTCGTTCGTTCGTTGTTTTTCGTTCGTTCGTTTCGTTCGTTTCGTTCGTTCGTTCGTTCGTTCGTTTCGTTCGTTCGTTCGTTCGTTCGTTCGTTCGTTCTTAGTTTCGTTCGTTCGTTCGTTCGTTCGTTTCGTTCGTTCGTTCGTTCGTTCGTTCGTTCGTTCGTTCGTTCGTTCGTTCGTTCGTTTCGTTCGTTTCGTTCGTTCGTTCGTTCGTTCGTTCGTTCGTTCGTTCGTTCGTTCGTTCGTTCGTTCGTCGTTCGTTCTTCGTTCGTTCGTTCGTTCGTTTCGTTCGTTCGTTCGTTCGTTCGTTCGTTCGTTGTTGTTCGTTTCGTTCGTTCGCGTTCGTTCGTTCGTTCTTCGTTAGTTTTTCGTTCGTTCGTTCGTTTCGTTCGTTCGTTCGTTCGTTTCGTTCGTTCGTTCGTTCGTTTCGTTCGTTCGTTCGTTCGTTCGTTCGTTTTTCGTTCGTTCGTTCGTTCGTTCGTTCTTCGTTCGTTCGTTCGTTCGTTTTCGTTCGTTCGTTCGTTCGTTCGTTCTTTCGTTTCGTTGTTCGTTCGTTCGTTCGTTCGTTCTTCGTTCGTTCGTTCGTTCGTTCGTTCGTTCGTTTCGTTCGTTCGTTCGTTCGTTCGTTCGTGTCGTTCGTTCGTTCGTTCGTTCGTTCGTTCGTTCGTTCGTTCGTTCGTTCGTTCGTTCGTTTTTTTGTCGTTCGTTCGTTCGTTTCGTTCGTTCGTTCGTTGTCGTTTCGTTCGTTCGTTCGTTCGTTCGTTTTCGTTCGTTCGTTCGTTCGTTCGTTCGTTCGTTCGTTCGTTCGTTCTTTCGTTCGTTTGTTCGTTCGTTCGTTCGTTCGTTCGTTCGTTCGTTCGTTCTTCGTTCGTTAGTCGTTCGTTCGTTCGTCGTTCTTTCGTTCGTTCGTTCGTTCGTTTTCGTTCGTTCGTTCGTTCGTTCGTTCGTTCGTTCGTTCGTTCGTTCGTCCGGCCTTTTCCCCGTCTCCCTTTTTTTCTTCGTCTCCTTCTGTTTCCCGCTTTCTTCCCTTTTCCCCGCTGGTTCTGCCTCCTTCTGCTTTGGCCCCGCCTGTCTCTCCCCTTTTTTTGTTTTTCTTGTCTTGGCTTTGTTCCCCGCGCCTAATGTTGTTGTTGATCTCTCTTCTGTTTGTTGTGTTGCTCCTAGGCCTTCCTTTTTGCCTTCCTGCTCCCCCCCCCCATCTCTGTCTCTCCTTTTTTTCGTTATTATTTATTCCCCGCTGCACTTCCGTCCATATTGCATTTTCACTACATACTTACATACATTTGCAATGTTTATGTTTATGTTTGTTGGCTACATGTATGTGTGTTTATGACCATATGAGTTTTTGAAGCGTAAAATAAGCTTCTTGTCTTCTTTCTTAAACATACATATCTGTATGTATTTATGTGTGTATATTCTAATGTAAAGCATGTTTACACACGCTCTTACTCATATGTTTATATTCTTTTTATAAACGTTTGTTAGTGTATGCAGTTTATATAACATCATTATCTTTTACTTGTCTTTATTGTCAAATATTTTTCTATGATAAATTGCCTTCTTGTTTGAATTAGCAGTTCACAAAAATATAGAAATAAAAAAGCACAATTTTCTACTTTTTTTTGCAATTTCTTCTTGTTTTGTTGCAAAAATCAACAATAAGGAAAACAACTCATTGAAGAAGGACACACTTGTCCTTTTTGCATACGAAAATTTTTAAACAAACATATACTTTTGTATGTTAAGCAAATATATGCACACATATATTTGCAAACTTACATTTACAGGCATACACTTTTAAGCAGTTAAAAGGAATCGTATTTTCCCATACAGTGGGGAAGAGTAATTGGAAGACGGGTTTGAACTTCAAACTTTGAGGATGAAAGATAAATACTAATTATACAATGTAGTCTATAGTCTAGTCAAAACGGGGTCTCTTTGACTCTACTTGACAGTTCGCGTGTAGTGAACTACCACGTAAACCAACCAATAGTCTAGTCTATAGTCTAGTCTATAGTCTAGTCTATAGTCTAGTCTATAGTCTAGTCTATAGTCTAGTCTATAGTCTAGTCTATAGTCTAGTCTATAGTCTAGTCTATAGTCTAGTCTATAGTCTAGTCTATAGTCTAGTCTATAGTCTAGTCTATAGTCTAGTCTATAGTCTAGTCTATAGTCTAGTCTATAGTCTAGTCTATAGTCTCGTCTATAGTCTAGTCTATAGTCTAGTCTATAGTCTAGTCTATAGTCTAGTCTATGTCTAGTCTATAGTCTAGTCTATAGTCTAGTCTATAGTCTAGTCTAGTCTAGTCTATAGTCTAGTCTATCGTCTAGTCTATAGTCTAGTCTATAGTCTCTAGTATAGTCTATAGTCTAGTCTATAGTCTAGTCTATAGTCTAGTCTATAGTCTAGTCTATAGTCTAGCCTATAGTCTAGTCTATAGTCTAGTCTATAGTCTAGTCTATAGTCTAGTCTATAGTCTAGCCTATAGTCTAGTCTAGAGTCTAGTCTATAGTCTAGTCTATAGTCTAGTCTATAGTCTATAGTCTAGTCTATAGTCTAGCCTATAGTCTAGTCTATAGTCTAGTCTATAGTCTAGTCTATAGTCTAGTCTATAGTCTAGTCTATAGTCTAGTCTATAGTCTAGTCTATAGTCTAGTCTACAGTCTAGTCTATAGTCTAGTCTATAGTCTAGCCTATAGTCTAGTATATAGTCTAGTCATAGTCTAGTCTATAGTCTAGTCTATAGTCTAGTCTATAGTCTAGTCTATAGTCTAGTCTATAGTCTAGCCTATAGTCTAGTCTATAGTCTAGTCTATAGTCTAGTCTATAGTCTAGTCTATAGTCTAGTCTATAGTCTAGCCTATAGTCTGGTCTATAGTCTAGTCTATAGTCTAGCCTATAGTCTAGTCTATAGTCTAGTCTATAGTCTAGCCTATAGTCTAGTCTATAGTCTAGTCTATAGTTAGTCTATAGTCTAGTCTATAGTCGTCTATAGTCTAGTCTATAGTCTAGCCTATAGTCTAGTCTATAGTCTAGTCTATAGTCTAGTCTATAGTCTAGTCTATAGTCTAGCCTATAGTCTAGTCTATAGTCTAGTCTATAGTCTATAGTCTATAGTCTATAGTCTAGTCTATAGTCTAGTCTATAGTCTAGTCTATAGTCTAGTCTATAGTCTAGTCTATAGTCTAGTCTATAGTCTATAGTCTATAGTCTATAGGTCTAGCTATAGTCTAGTCTATAGTCTAGTCTATAGTCTAGTCTATAGTCTAGTCTATAGTCTAGTCTATAGTCTAGTCTATAGTCTAGTCTATAGTCTAGTCTATAGTCTAGTCTATAGTCTAGTCTATAGTCTAGTCTATAGTCTAGTCTATAGTCTAGTCTATAGTCTAGTCTATCGTCTAGTCTATAGTCTAGTCTATAGTTAGTCTATAGTCTAGTCTATAGTCTAGTCTATAGTCTCGTCTATAGTCTAGTCTATAGTCTAGTCTATAGTCTAGTCTATAGTCTAGTCTATAGTCTAGTCTATAGTCTAGTCTATAGTCTAGTCTATAGTCTAGTCTATAGTCTAGTCTATATTCTAGTCTATAGTCTAGTCTATAGTCTAGTCTATAGTCTAGTCTATAGTCTAGTCTATAGTCTAGTCTAGTCTATATTTAGTCTATAGTCTGGTCTATAGTCTAGTCTATAGTCTAGTCTATAGTCTAGTCTATAGTCTAGTCTATAGTCTATAGTCTAGTCTAGTCTAGTCTAGTCTAGTCTATAGTCTATTGTATAGTCTAGGTCTATAGTCTAGTGTATAGTCTAGTCTATAGTCCAGCCTATAGTCTTGTCTATAGTCCAGCCTATAGTCTAGTCTATAGTCTAGTGTATAGTCTAGTCTATAGTCTAGGCTATAGTCTAGGCTATAGTCTAATTTATAGTCTAGTCTATAGTCTAGTGTATAGTCTAGTCTATAATCTAGTCTCTAGTCGATCGCTGTAGATCAATTGTATCTAACTTTAGGCGTCCGTAAACTTTTTTCTCTGCTGTTACTCTACCATATGAACACACACATTTGCGTATCAATGTGTGGTTTTAAGAATTTCTCTTATTTTTCTTAGTTTCTCTGTCCGTTCGTATGGCCCAAGGCCTTTTTCTATCTGCAAAATATATAGTATTTTCTTTTTATCAAATTCATTCTATATTTTGCTATAAGAATTAAAATAAATATTAATTTTATAAAGAGAAAAAATAAAGAATGACTATGTAGTGTAGAGTGTTTTTTTGAATT